AGACACGTAAACTCCAAATATACAGCAGGTGTCAGGGTCAAGATCGAACCCACGACCTCCTGCATACCTGGCGAAGTAATTAACATCGCGCCACCGTGGCACCCCTACCATCGGGTGAAGGAAGGCTAGACAAGGAACATAACATATCATACAATTCAACTCTATCTACCGTGTGAAAAAGTGTTCAGCTTGCACCTCAGCATTTCATTTGCGTTTCTATCCGACGCATGCCCGCGGCCCTATCTGGCGCATGACCACCCTCTACTGGTTAAAGAGCGAACTAATTTCGTATTTTTACAAAACGTCACACACTGCGCGTGAACCTGATTGATGATGATGAGTGTGTGCGTTGCATGAGGAGCGGTGGTGTCGTGGTTAGCGCACTGTGCTAGGAACCCAGCGACTCGTCCGACTTAAGTTTCATTCCCATCTTAAACCGCATCCACGGCACAAACCATGGCAGCAGATGCGGATACCTGATGCACAAATTGAAAATGAAAAACTCTCCAGCAGTGTGCGACTGTGGTCATCCAGACACAGACCGTAATACAACACATAAGGGCGCAATGCCCCGATCCACGAATACGAAGGAGACACCACAGCGATTGTACAACTCCGCCACTGCTCCTCACGCAGTTGTTTGGCTTGGCCACCTGAATGTGAAATTGTGGCCGTGGCTGTGCATCTCCATCAGCAGCCGTACGACAGAAGAAGAAGACGAGGAGGAGGAGGTTGCATCCCCGCTCACGACCACCATCAGTGGCGAATGCTGCATGAGGGGCTCTTCATTCTTCACCAGCCATCTCGGTTATTTGTCCATACTTCACCACGCTGGTCATTGCAGGCTGGTTACAGTGGGGCGCATAGCCCTTAGGAGTAAAGCACTATGACTTTCCGACCTTGTTGCTGGCAACATAGCTCCGTAGCCCACAGCACCTTATTCATGTGCGCGCGGTCACCCATCCAAGTACCATCCCGCCTTAACACAGCTTGGCTTCTGAGATCGGGTGCATTGCAGGTTCTTGTGTTCGCAGGTAGCATATCTCGCAATAATACGTGCCGTGGATCACGCAACGCAAATATTGCGTTCATGCCAAATACGTCCCCTCATTAATCATTGATGTTTGTATGTATGTTGAACGTCTTTTGAACCGTACGCAGCGAACCGTGCTAATCGGAGGAGCGGGAGAATATCGGGCCAGTGAAGTGTGTGTCCTGCACCCTCATCCACGCGACACCAGACAATGAATAAAGTTTGTCACGTGATCAAACGTGGACAATTTAGAACTGCTCCAGCAGACTCACCGGTGTGCCGGAGAGAGCGGTGTAGCGACATTTAAAAAAAATATATATCAATTACGAGTCGCAATTCATCGTGAAGTCATGGTGCTGGTCGCGAAAGCCAAATACGTGTTACAATAACGTCCCCTGCTGAACGCAACGCGTTCCTTCAGGTGTTTTTACTTACAGATTAAAACAGCGCCTCGGAGATCAATCCGGCTTGGTATCTGAAAACTCAACACGTTCGTCCTCAACAACGCTGTGTGTGGCCTTGAAAAGAAAAAAAAATGTATCAGAGGCAACGTTTCGAGCAATGGCCCTTCATCCTAGTTTGACAGAGAGGCCAGACAGATGAGAGTATTCATATGCTATGAAGTGGGGCTATTGCCCGAAACGTCGCTTGCTATATATTTAAGGCTACGCACAGAGAGTTATTGACGGAATTGTTGAGGTTTTTTCTTTTCAAAAAACTCCACCTTGTCTGACTCCTCTTTCAATTTGGACGTTGGTATTTTATATTAAAAATATATTAAAATGTAATCAATGACAAACTAATGCAGCAACGATCATTGGTAAACATGTTTTCCCTTCAAATGCCAGGCAGTGCTGGCGAAAGCGAACACCCCCAAGAGAGCCGCTCGACTTAACCAACGAGGGGGGCTCCAGGGCTGAGGGAGATTCACCCAATCAACAACGTGGCCGCTTGAGTCACGCGCATTCCCCCCAAGCAAATCACTTCGGAAGACAACGCTGATGGCAGGGATTGCGATACGTGTTTTCGAGTCCCAAGTTGAGACACTTTCTGACAGCGCGTGTCACTGTGATTGGTCTTCGCCCTGCCATCCATTCTCTGTGCTCGTCATGCAGCCGCGCGGCATTGATTGTTTTTATTTTATTCACAAGCACTTGTATTTAACTTGCCCTTTTGTCCGTATATATTCTGTCAAATCTCTGTGGCGCTTAATATCTTCGGATCTGCGAAGCCTAACGAGCTGAAATTCTGTACACGCAGACTCATCGTGTCGCGTGCCAATTCAAGATTTCATTTAAAAACCGCTCCAGGTCCCGCCGATTCGCGGCCTCTTCGTGGTTTTTACTTACATTTTTTATTGCACTATCCCAAATAGACGATAATTAACTATTGTTATTGTCTGGATTCAGATCTTGGAATGAATATGTATATATATACAATTTAACTAATTACTTTTTAATTAAATAATATGTAAGCAAAAAATCTGTTATTCAATGCACACACTTTTATTTGCACTCAAAAGTAGAAAATGAACAATGTTGACCTCAAAATTAATCTAACTTTTTGAGCTTGATAACAGTATGTAGCTTGCATAATAAAAAAATAAACATATCGAAAGGAAATCACCCACTTTTATTCAGCACATCAAATTGAATTCATTATTGGGTCAAAATAATTAATTTTCTACTTCTGAGTGCAAATAAAAGTGGGTGCATAAAAACAACTTTTTCACATGACGTTGTAGATGCCCAAAGTTAAAGTGTCAGAGGTTTCTTACGAACTAAATAAATAAATGGGCTACTTCGCGGGGGTTTGCGCTGACCCGCTGTAACCGCCGTGGAAATCATCGATACGTCACGCGCCGTGGAAAAATATAAATATTTTCTATTTTTCAGCCACGATGGCGCTGCAGGAATCCAATTAGAAACGATATTTTAACATTATTTTTTCAATTCAACAAAGCAGATGTCTTTGGAAAATAATATCCTGTTGACAATGCCATGTCAAGGATCAAGTCCACGAGCACTGCAAGATATCGAATCAGTGCAGGCTTGGAGGGTTTTTTTTGTCGAGAATTTGTGAGAAGCTTTGTGGTCCTGTGCGTTACTTAGATAGTGAACTGCCTTTTGTGTTTAGTTTCTTTTGTCCTTTCCCAGCACAGTTGGCTACCTACAGTGCGAAATAACTTCAGAATCCATGCATACATATACGGTACAGTAATTGGATTAGCGGTGGTGCAGTGTCTGGCATGCTGTGCTATGAGCCCACCGGCGTAAGTTTGATCCGAGTCACGGCTAACACCAGCGGTGAGTGACATCTGGACCGGTCGCGGCTATGCACGAGGCTCGGTGGATCACACAAATGTTGGGAGATTCACTTGAAGTGCCATATCCTAGCTCGCCAGCGGAATGTCGTAGAGTACTCCACCCGTTCCATCTGTATGGGATATAGCGTTGCTCCTCCGCACGTGTGCGGGCTTTCTTCGGGTGCTCGGGATTCCTCCTACGTGTAAACACTCGCTCACAGGATGATAACACCTTCGTATATAGAAGACCGCAGAGCTCTGGGTGGAATTATTGGCCTACCGAATCGCCGCCTGGCTGCTGCTGTCTTCCCGCCCGTCTGTGGTTTCCCCTCGCTCCTCTGAGTCGTTCCCTCTCTCTTCGAGAGCGAGCAGCGAACACCGTGCGACGGCGTGTTACACCGTCTTATTGTTACCCCCCCACACTTGCGATGATTAGCACGGTTGGCTACGTACGGTGCGAAAGAAGTTTAACACACATACACAAGTGATCATTCGCCCTCCCCCCACCCCCACATTTCACCAACCTGCATTGACAAGCGTGGTGACGTACGGTCGAATAACCCCCGTGACTGACGTGGTCTTCACCCAGTAGTGGATTAACAAAAAGTTATTTCTATTGTAATTGTTCTAAGGTACCGCATTTGACTGCTGTCAAAGAGATCACATATTTTGCGTTAAAGGTGATTGAAACCGTTATTAACGGTAGGCAATGCAATAAATAAACAAACGTAAAAGTGGACTCGGTTCAAGCCTAAATGTTCCCAGAAAAATATCCCACGTTACATTCCAACTCCGATGACACTGCCTTTCTGTATTGCACAGAAGCGTTTCTTATCCAACGAATGAGTGTGCAGTCAAGACGTCTGGTGGTTCGAATTTTGGACCATTTCGAGATCAAGTGGAGGATTTGTGGAGGACGCAGTGGGCAGAGTTAGTCCAGGGCTAGAGGAGCCAGTGTCAGCGGCAGCAGCTGGGCGTGGGTGGGTCTCTCAGATGCTGCCCAGTTGGAGGTGGGAGGTCAATCTTCGGTGTTAATTTCTCTCACCGTATATTTAAAAAAACGATTGACATGGCTCTGCCTCTTTGTATCTACACTGTGCCTATCCTTGCTATATAACTATATTTATTCAAGAAGATATCTTGGTTACATTTTTTTAGCGTGCAAAAAAAATGGTTAAACATTTTTTCGTAGGCGCTTTATTTTCCGTAGGCCCTAGGCACGGTGATTACTGTGCCTATTTGATAATACGGCCCTGTACATCACCACACACATCACCTGTGTGTCGTCAGTATACGCATGACAAGCAAACATTGAATATGGAAACAATAATAATGCCATTTTATAGAGCGTCATTCATGCAATTGCATTCCACAACGCTGCACATCATTTAGCCAGTTCCTTGCACAGATAATACAAAAACAAATCCCCACTACATAGCAAGTAAAACACAAAAACACGTATACGTAACTAACGAGAAAAAAATACACATTATTTGCAAATGGGAAGATTTAAGAGAGTCTGAAAAGTGATAAGACACAACGGTAACTGGAGACACCAGTGAGAGTCTGCTTGTTTCACCACGTGAACGTTCATTTGTTTTTTTATGCAATCACCCAGAGGGAGAGGAAAGGCAGTGAAGGAAACAGAAGAAGAAGAAGACGAAAATACTCCCTCGTTTATTCATTCATTCATTACTACATTTATAAGGAGTGCGAATTTAACTTCAAAAAGACATTCGGGGTGTGGAGCGAGAGAGAGTAAAATAAAGGAAGAGAAACGTCTGTGCACTCTGCGAGACTGTGGTGCCAGCAGCCGGAGAAGGGACACTGCTGCTGCTGCTGCTCCATCGCAAGGAGCCTGCGTCCCAGCGATCAGAGAGGCCTGCAACCCAGTCCGATTGGACAGAGAGGGCGCGGGGCACTGGGTCGGAGTTGTTGTCCATCCCAAACTGTTGCCATTCTCGCCGTTGTTGGAGCGGCGAACATGTGGCGCGTGTTATCTTGCTGTAGCAAAAAAAAAACCCATCTGCGGCGGTGTTGAGACACGTAACACGAACTGCGCCAGGGGCAGTGGTGCACCGCTCTCGGCGGTGTCCACACGAATGCGGCTCTGGAAGTTTCTGCGCGAAGAGAGGCAAAAAGAAACAAATTCAGGGGCATCACTTTTGAATAACCCCTCGTAGAGTGAAAATGAGACCGAGCCAACGACGGAGCCTCTTAGAGGCCTCATAGAGGCTCCGTCGTTAGCCGAGTGGCCTGACAAGAAGGTCAAGCCGTGTATGGCAACATAGACTGAACTGCGAGATAAAGCATTGCTGCGATGCCTACGTAGTCTTGAAGGTAATCAAGAGATCGCTGCGTGACGACGAGGTGAGAGCCCTGAGCTGGCACCGCGCTAAGATCCTCGATTCAAATCGGGTAACTACCTGTGGATGAACCGGATTTTCACGCGCTAGCAAGTTTATGATCGAAGGTCGATTACAACTTATTGCAACAAAACCCTCCAACAATTATAATTGGTTTTACGCTTAATTTCGTATTTTTTTTTTTGCTCTGAGAAAAAATAGTTTAACTGTCATATCATGAAAAATTGTTGTCAGCAGCAGGAAGGGTGGGAACGTGTTGCCCTCATCCTCTGGATGGAGGCCACTTCAAGATATTTGAGAAACAGTTCTGCACTGCTGTGAGTTCTGGATTGAGACATCACATGACGTGATGCCAATAACACAATCATAATACAATTAGGGAAGTAGAAGAGTGGGCTATGAACCTGGTGGCCTCAGTTATTATTTTACTATTTTTTATTTTACTAGGTAAGGCCCACTGAGCTACCTGGCTCTTTTTCAGAAGCCACCTGGCTCTTTTTCAGAAGCCACCTGGCCACAAATGACAGCTCAAAATAGTGGCTTACCATCTAGACATGTATCGCAGCCAAATACTCTCAACGCATGTCTCTAAATGTGGGGGAAAACACCGGAGGACCCAGAGAAAAATCCACGTGACCACGGGGAGAACACGCAAACTCCAAATATACAGACGTCAGGGTTGGGATCAAACCCAGGACCTCCTGCATACCAGACGAGGGAGATAACACCGCTTTCAAGCGACAGTTAACATCAGTGGCAGGTGATATCTCAGCCAGTCCAAGATCACTACTCAGTCAAACTGCACGGATCAGTTGAGTTAATTAAAGTATAACCAACCAACCCACACGACCAACATGATATGGAGAGGCCTTCATCTAGCAGTGGATTTACAAAGGACGTAGCGTATGACGTACACGAACAACGATTGTATGACGCACATTTCTACGTGGCTCTCACAGGTATATGTTTCTATGCAATGCTAGTTTTTTTTTTGTTTTTTCATACGGGAAATATTCCCCGCAACCAGCTGTGTAATATCTGATGCCGGAATACCTTGCACGAGTCCCTAATTATTATTCGCGCAGTGTAAATTAGCACCCACAAAATGGACCCATTGCACCCGAAAGTGACACGAGCTTTAAGTCACCCGTTCATGTGTTGCACAAAATGTTGCAAGCCCAGACCGGGTTACTTCGTCTTTCACTCTCATCGACCAACGTCAGTGCCACCCCCCCCAACCCAGTAAACAAAACAATGCAGGCAGCCCAGTCTATTGAGGGCCCACTCGGTACTGTATTCTAATGCCGCGTGAAACTGGATTGCACTACATTGTGCTGCATTTATTGTCTCTGAGATATTTGCTTGAATCCATGAGGATCACATTTGTGTTTTAGTGTGTCTCTCTGAGCTCTGGGTTCCACGGTAGCAAAATGTTAACTACCTCGCTCGATATACAGGAGGTCGTGGTCTCGATCTCGACACTGACGCCTGTATATTTGGAGTTTGCATATCTCTCTCCCCATTTGGAAACATGCGTATAGAGTATTTGGCTGCAAAAAAACCATGGCAGATTCGGATACTTGATGCACAGATGGAAAAAAAATGTTAATCTCTCCAGTGTGCGGCCGTGGTCATCCCGAACAGACCGTACAACGTATAACAACGCGATGCCCGATGTACAACTTTAAAGAAGACATCACAGCGATTCATTCCGCTGCTCTTGACGCGGTTATCTGGGCTTGATCACCTGCATGTGACATCGCAGCTGTTGCTCTGCATCTACATCAGCCGTACTCAAGAAGACGGCTGCTGTACATTTCCACACGGTAAGCCACTTCGTTGAGCTATTATTTGTGGCCCGGTCGCTTCTGAACAAGAGCTTTATATCTCAGTGGGCCCTACATGGTAAAAAATATATTTTTAGTTTAGTTTAACCTGTTTCAGTGACCAGTTTTGAACAAGCCACAGCTGGGATGAGCCCCAGCCAGACCAGTCAGGTTGGTGTTGACTTTCCTAAACCGCATTTGACTATTCCCTCCCCACAAATAGCAACGTTGTTGCCAGTGGTGAACAAGCACCTCCGATTAGCACGGTTGGCTAAGTACGGTGCGAAAGAAGTTCAACATACATATATGCACACCGCTGACAAAGGCCTCCCTACACTGTGTAAATTATCGGAGATGTTTGACCGTACTTCCCCATGATTGTCAGCGTGGATTGGTGAATGGGTCTGTCTGGTGCAAATGCCATTCACCAACGACTTTGGCACCACAACTGGGAATGAAACTTAGATGGCCAGGTTCGTAGCGCACTGCGCTATCCACGTCACCACCGCTTCACCTCGTCACTTCTCTAACCTATCAGGCAATGGCCCTCCAGCTCACTGTCTCCCTTTGAACATCCCTCAACCTCTCTCCCAGCTTCCTTCTCACATTTTCCAACCCTGCCACCGGCCCATGTGGTCTAATGGCCTAAACAAGTGCAGTGGGTAAACTGAGCGGTCAGGGTTAGTGGCTCCAATAGACAGACTACCCCCAAAAGAAGTGGATGTACTTGTTGAGTTCATTTTCACCAGGCGAGGACTCAACCTGACCGGATATACAGGTGATCATCGATTTATTATCCGGCTGCTTCCAACATTACCCGGCAGTCCCGGGCCGATAATTCCAATGTCATATTGTATACAGTACATTATACACTACATACAGCAACTTGATGGAAATACTGCATGTGTATACATCACCCCATGCAGAGTCGGCGAGATTGGAGTGGTAAGCACGGTAGAGTAAATGCCGTAACTTTTTCAAGTCGGCTATTTATTTTTTGTCAATGTGCATGTTTATTTATGCCAATTTCATATCGTAAACAATTTTAAAACACTAAAAAAACACACATACAACAACCCCTAAAAACACAACTTCATTCAAGAATGTGCAAACGTAAGCTATTTTAGATAAGAATTATATGTTGATTATCCGGCGAACCCCTCCCCCGCAGCCGCTGGATAATCGATGATCGACAGTCGTCTGACCTGGGCACCGTCGACTGCGCTACCGCTCCAGACGAGTTGGAGACCCGGCACTAGGCGCTGCCTCTGCAGCGCAGGAATGTAGGTCAGGGCGTTGGGGGGAATGAATGGCAAGCGATGTGCAAATACAATGCCTTTGGAGTATGAAAAACAAGAACATGTTTAATCCTTTCTGGGAATAAAACGGGAGGTGTTAAGTGGTTCAAACACCAAATCGATACCGTTTTGCAAGGAACCAGGTTACTGCATTAGCCACACACACAGTACTTGTGGTGAACGGGCAAACAAACACCTGGCTCCGATAACAAATGGGCATTGTGTTCGAAACTGATTGGCCTACACCAGAGACTGTCTTCTTTATGGCCTAGTCTGACCAGTGTCAGACCAGAGAACACCAAAAGGCGAACAGTACAAGGACAATGCCACACGTTTCAGAGCATTTACAGTTCGGGGTGAGCAGCTACTGTACATGATGAGATCTTTTTGCCAGTAAAAACTCGACATATTTGTCAATAAACGTAGTGTGGCCTTTACAAGAAAACTATCGGTGGCCATTCTACATAGCACGTGTCTAAACAATGTTTAATGTAAGATAAACGTACGCTGTTTTGTTTATAGGATACAATATTCAGCTCACACGCGTGTACGTACTTTTTGGGAATGTGACCCCGCATTGTTTGAAAGTGAACAAGTGATGTCACAGCTAAAGAAACGATCTATAGATGCTCGCTGCTGGTGCACAAGTCAAAAGAAGCACTCAACACGTTCGTCAATAAGACTGTGGCCGTAAAAGAAAACAAAATAGCCAGGGAAACCCCTACCAAGCCACACGTAGTGCAATCACATCACACGTTACCTCCCGTACGGCGGTACACGTAGGACCAGAGGAAATACTTTTTTTCTCTCTCACAACTATGATTCGTGTTATCCGATTGGTCAAGTAATCTACCGAAATTCTCAATTAATCCGAGGGCCCAGCTCTACCGTACTCACGAGTCGCTTACCTTACCCTGCCATTATCTGCATGCACCTCCACTGTCTTCAGACTCAACACCAAAACATCAAGCCACAAGCTGTCCACCCACATTGATGAGTTAGCACCGTCTGCCTCTGTTGGCATTCTCTTGCAAACCTTTGCTGCGTCTTCTTGTCCTTCTGATGTTCAGTGCTTTGAATGCACCTCTTTATATTTGTAATGTCATAGCGCCGTCTGTTGTCCAGCAATGGTAACTGCGGTGGACGAGCAGTACCCACGCCGATGAGCACTTAGGCGGCGTGTGTGTCAGCAGGGCAGAGGAACTGGGGTCAAGGGTCACAGAGACCTCCGTCTGGCAGCCCCTGGAACCCGTTAGTGGGTTCGAGAAGGAAGGCGCGGCCAGGGCGGAGCCAGGCCGCGCTGAGTAGGATACAAACAGCGGAGAGCGAAAGCTCGTGGCTGCCGGTTCTGGGAAGTGGACTCGTCTCGTCGTTCCTGCCGTCTTCACGAGACAATTGTGCAGCCGAATGCTTGGTGGCTGTTGTAACGGTCGCCGCCATCAGTGTGACATGGTCAGGGTTGTGTCTAGGCTGGGCTATGCGACTTGAGAGAAGCGAGGGCAAACCTGTGAACCTGAAGGTGTCAAATAAAGAAGGTGCCTCCTCAAGAATCCTGTCTCCCACTCCGTTGACACTACATATTCATCAGCTGAAGCCTCCCGTAAGTCACGTGGCTTCTGTGTGGCCACTCTCACTCTGAATCCCTCCCCTGTCCCCACCCCTTGTGAAAACAGACGCTGCTCAATGCAGCATCGAGCAATGCGCTTTTAAATCTAAATTGAAAACTCCGTTGTTTAGAACTGCTTTTTGTGTTTAGTTTGTCGTCCATGGTTGGCTAATTGTCTCTTCGTACCCTCGTGTTTCCTAACACCTTTGGTTCCATTTTTCCATTTAATTTCCTCTTATTTCGCATTCTTTCTCGTCATCCCATTCCCATTCCTTATGGCACACCATTGACTCTACTCCCCTTCCCGCGGTGCTGCCACCGGCAAAACGTTTCTAGTTGTTAAATGGATATCACCTATATATTTGCAGGTAAAACTTACAATCTGCCACCAACCGTTACCCTGATTACCGTGTTGAACAAAGTGTATGTATGTTGAATTATTTCTCACTCTACTTGGAGGTGTGGTGGAAGGCCAGCAAAACTAAACACAGAAAGCAGTTCTAAGAATGTATTTAAAAGTGCATAGCTCCAGTTGCTTCCTTTTTATCGGAAGGAAGAGCGTTCCAGACGGACGCAGAAGAGCATCTCAAAGTGCACGATGCATTGACCGTCTTTGTTCGATGGTTAGCCCAAAAGCCGCTGCGAGAGGATGACCGGAGTTTGCGTGATGGCTTGAAGAGCTGTGTACCGCGTGCATTTTTAAGACAAGTGATGAGCTATCAACAAAACAGCTCGCAAACACGAAGTTTTGAATGTATAACTTCACTCGGTTTTTTTTTCTTTCAACCAATCATATTCCAGTCGGCCTCATATCTACTTACATGCAGGGGCCCTTTGTCAATGCACTGCTCTCCGCCTCGTGCAGGTCGCGTGGCTGTCATGGGGGTTTGTTTGGCGGGGTAGGGGGTTACTTGACATACTTCACGTAGGTGTAAGAACGTGGAAGTGTAGCGTGCACTGCCCTCTGCTGTCCAGCGCGACGCCCCGCACTCTGCGATGGCGTTGTGCCACAGCTGTGTCTGTGTATTTGTCAAGGGCAGGAGCCTCAGGGCTCCCTCACAATCACAGTGGTGTGGCACTTCACACAAAGAAAAATCCCCAACAATACACGTCCAAGCACCGCAGCGCTTAATGCCACTGCACATCGGCATCCTCAACAACACTGTTGCCTTTAAAGGAAAAAAAGAAATATCTATAATAGGCGACGTTACGGGGAATGTCCCGTCTTCATATTTGTGATGGCCAGGTCGCTTCTGAAAAAGAGATATATAGATAAGTGGGTCTTACCTGGTAAAATAAAAGTAATAGTGTCCATAAGAGGCCAGATAGATACAGTGAGGCCTGGTCATAATAAAATAAAAAACAGTTTTCTGATGACCAGTTTTCAAATTGGCGTGTGAAGTTACCCAACAACAGCTACCGAGTAACAGACACTCCCTTGAATAATAATTCAAGGATTACGATGACAATTACATGGCACGTTGAACACATCCGCGCGAGCTCACACGTAAACAAGCATTGACAATTACCCTCGTTATCGTGCAGCTTAGCACTGCACTATGGAGCAACCTGCTCAGCTGCGATCTTTTCATCAGTGACAAATGACATCTGAAGAACCTCCCCCCCCTTCACTCACCCGCAATGACCAGCGTGGTAAAGTATGGTCAAAACAACCAGCAGTGGAATATTTGTAAGTTTGTTGTAGCATTACATCCCAGTATAAAATGGCTTAATAGAGATGTCTACCCAGTGTCGTGTCTTGAACACGATAACGTTGACATTTGATTTTATTCACGTGGATAAGGTTGCCAATGTTTGGCGATTAAACAAATGCATTACGCAAGTTAATTTATGAAAGTGCTCGTGCACACTGTGTGCCCATGGTCGTGCTGAACGTGAAAATGAAACATTAAGACCGCTCAAGGCTGCTCTTGGCACAGATGCGCGTCACGCCGCATGCACTCCGAACCCGGCGTTCCGAGTTCGTTTTTCTCGCTCACGGCCACCAATACCACGGTGACGATTGTCCGAAACGACCCTGGGCCTCCCCTAGGTCGACTCAGCCCCGAATGAGTACCTGGTGCGGTGTGTAAAGAAACTTTGCCACTGGGGAGACAAAGACGGTCGGGCGTGGTGCTGGCCACCCACCCCCTCGTGTGCCGTTCCCCGTTCCGTTCTTCATACGTGCTGAATCGTTGTCTTTGTAGTAACAATGGGCATCAGCAGCACTGTGTAGTAACAATGGGCAGTAGCAGCACTGTGTAGTAACAATGGGCAGCAACAGCACAGTGTAGTAACAATGGGCAGCAGCAGCACTGTGTAGTAACAATGGGCAGCAGTAGCACTGTGTAGTAACAATGGGCATCAGCAGCACTGTGTAGTAACAATGGGCAGTAGCAGCACTGTGTAGTAACAATGGGCAGTAGCAGCACTGTGTAGTAACAATGGGCAACAACAGCACTGTGTAGTAACAATGGGCAGTAGCAGCACTGTGTAGTAACAATGGGCAGCAGCACTATGCAGTAACAATGGGCAGCAGTAGCACTGTGTAGTAACAATGGGCAGTAGCAGCACTGTGTAGTAACAATGGGGAACAGTAGCACTGTGTAGTAACAATGGGCAGTAGCAGCACTGTGTAGTAACAATGGGCAACAGCAGCACTGTGTAGTAACAATGGGCAGCAGTAGCACTGTGTAGTAACAATGGGCAGCAGCAGCACTGTGTAGTAACAATGGGCAGCAGTAGCACTGTGTAGTTACAATGGGCAGTAGCAGCACTGTGTAGTAACAATGGGCAGCAGCAGCACTGTGTAGTAACAATGGGCAGTAGCAACACTGTGTAGTTACAATGGGCAGTAGCAGCACTGTGTAGTAACAATGGGCAGTAGCAGCACTGTGTAGTTACAATGGGCAGTAGCAGCACTGTGTAGTAACAATGGGCAACAGCAGCACTGTGTAGTAACAATGGGCAGCAGCACTGTGTAGTAACAATGGGCAGCAGTAGCACTGTGTAGTAACAATGGGCAGTATCAGCACTGTATAATAACAATGGGCATCAGTAGCACTGTGTAGTAACAATGGGCAGCAGTAGCACTGTGTAGTAACAATGGGCAGCAGCACTGTGTAGTAACAATGGGCAGCAGTAGCACTGTGTAGTAACAATGGGCAGCAGTAGCACTGTGTAGTAACAATGGGCAGCAGTAGCACTCTGTAGTAGCAATGGGCAGCAGTAGCACTGTGTAGTAACAATGGGCAGTATCAGCACTGTATAATAACAATGGGCATCAGTAGCACTGTGTAGTAACAATGGGCAGCAGTAGCACTGTGTAGTAACAATGGGCAGCAGTAGCACTGTGTAGTAACAATGGGCAGCAGTAGCACTGTGTAGTAACAATGAACAGCAGTAGCACTGTGTAGTAACAATGGGCAGCAGTAGCACTGTGTAGTAACAATGGGCAGCAGTAGCACTCTGTAGTAACAATGGGCAGCAGTAGCACTGTGTAGTAACAATGAACAGCAGTAGCAGTGTGTAGTAACAATGGGCAGCAGTAGCACTCTGTAGTAACAATGAACAGCAGTAGCACTGTGTGGCTGCAATGGGCAGCAGTAGCAGCAGCAGGCCGGCTGGATTAGTGGGGATGGGATGTTGCCTCGTATCACCCTCATCTCGCACTCTGCGCCCAGTCTGCAGGCACAAGCCGGGTGTGCGGACACAAAGCGCCGCTGTCAAACAGCCGGCAACCGGGCCTGGCCGGATGAATCTGGGGGCTGTGGAATATTGGAGACGCTTCATACCCAAACTGCTCCACCCCTGGGTTCGAATCCAGGTTTCGGCCGGCCAGTTTCAAACAGGGTATTCAAGTGTAGCGCGTTTTACGGTGTCCGCGCAAGTTCCGAATATTCCAGCTCTGATATATTAATATCTGTTGAGCTATGCGAGGTATGGGACCTGCTGGGACGTCGGGGACCTCCTCCGTGCATTCACTTCTCTCTGCAGCCCGGCGCCTGAGCACCTTCCCATCTCTGTTCCCCCGTGCAGTTGCACCGCCTACACACTCGATAGCCACCCCACTGCTGTGGGGAGGGCAGCACTCTTTACGCGCCAATGCAACAGCCGCGCATCCGTAATGCGGATGAAGAGGCCGAGTGGTGGGATTGTTTGAGAGTGGCTCTGTGATCTCATTTTTGCGGGGTCGTTTTAGGGCACCGTGGCACACTTGCTGGCCACAATAGTCTCAGGTGGGGATGCACTCGTCTCGTGAAATGTAATTATTCGGTGTAAAACACAAAGAATATAATGAGATTTCCTCAACAAGAATGCATTTAATTTAATTCAGAGACATCGTCATCAACAGAACTGAACATTTTACGGAAAAGGGCACACAGAAGGATGGACAAATCCACGCTGGGGATTCCACTGACGAGACAGAAAGATGATTAGAGAACGTACGCAAGGTGAATGGCACCATTCAAACTTTGTATGACATTGTATTCACTACGACGGATTCTGCTGTTGCTGATGCTGATGATGATCCATATGAGCCACGTTTATTCTACTCAATTGGGATAATCCAAAGCAGCGTCGCCCTTTATTGGCAGACCACAGAGCATGGGGAAATTGCCGGCAACTGGATTTCCGGCCGTTTTGCAGACAGCTCGCCTGTGTTTTCCTGCTCTCGCGAACTTGACGGA